CATCTATGAAATACTAAGGAAGGTTCTCTACACGTCAAATCTAACAATATAGCAATACTGGATATCTCTTATTGAGACTTCAATACTCCTTCTTTCTGAACGTGCTTCCGTTTTGCATTGATGTAGTCAGTACCCCATGTTTAAATCCACGATCATCGGCCACTCGAATTAGATTTGTAATTGTTGTTCACTGTGCATAAGGTAAGTAAGAGCTATAGTTTAACTTAGTGTCGGTATTTTTATTGAAATTCCATTTCTTGTTATTATTTTCGGCTAATACACAGTTACCCCATTAAAAATTCTCATGGGGAAAGTGTGTAATTTTTTTTAGGGGAAGTGTGTAAGGCATTACACACTTTCCCCATATAGAAATTTCTGCTATTTTTGAAATCATTTATTTCAGGAATCGACGGTTTCAACAAAAATGGTGTGGGTATATGTAAGGAAGAGTGAGAGGGGCAAGACATACACTAAAGAGACTTTGGAACGAGCTATGGAAGAGGTTAAAAGTGGAATAATCACCGCCTATAAGGCCAGTCAAAAATATGGAATACCTATGATGACGCTCAACTACCGCTTAAGAGGTAAAAGGGGAAAAAAAAGCAACACCCAAGGTAGAAGTACAGTAATTCCATTAGAGATGGAAAATGAATTGGCACACGGTATAAGAACAATGGAGAAGTGGGGCTGGGGACTGAGCCGGATGGAAATTTTAAGGATCGTGGGTGATTATGTTAGACGTAACCAATTAAAAACTCCATTCAAAAACGGAATTCCAGGAGAAGATTGGTTTTTGGGGTTTACTAAAAGACATAATTTCTCAATTAAAAAGCCCCAGTCAGTTTAATACGCCCGCAAAAAAAGTATGGACCCATTCATAATAAATGGATATTTTCAGTTGTTAGAGAAAACCTTAAATGATTTAAATTTGCGCGACAAACCTCACCAAATTTGGAACCTGGACGAATCGGGATTTTGCTTAGACCCTTCTAAAACGAGAGTTGTGGGAAATAGAGGCACGGCTGCTTCACGAACTACTGCAGGCCCAGGACGAGAAAACATAACGGTTTTAATGGCAGCAAATGCTGCGGGCTATAAAGCACCACCTCTTATAATATTTAAAGGTAAAAATATTTGGGATGAATGGGTGTCTAAGGAAAGCAAATATCCAGGCACTACATATGCCGCTACTTCCAACGGGTGGATGGAATCTCATATTTTTTTAAACTACTTTCAGAAAAGTTTTTTAAAAGAAATTGGTGATGCTAGACCAGTGCTTCTAATCTATGACGGGCACGTCTCTCATGTAGATGAACGACTTATATCCTGTGCTATGCGTAATAATGTAACCATATTGAAACTACCCCCCCATTCTAGTCACTTGTTGCAACCACTCGACCTTAGTGTCTTTCGTTCACTAAAGACAAGATGGGATGCACTTGTTGTGGAGTGGCAAAGGCATAATCAAGGACAGCGAATTCCAAAAAAACACTTTAGTAGGTTAATAGGAAAAATATGGTCAGAAACCCATCCTGAAATAATAATCAGCGGTTTTAAAAAAGGTGGCATATTTCCTTTCGATTCCAAAGTTGTCTCCGAAGATCATTATGATCCGCTAGCGTTAAAGCGATGGAAGTCACATGAAAAAACTTTAAACAAAGACATAAACGATCCTGAAAGTAATTTACCCGGAACTTCCAATGATCAGGATAATCAAACAGATCAAGAACAAATGAACGATGAAAATAATGTTTTTTCCGGGACCGTCAGGAATAAATAATCCAGATAAAACTTCATTTGAAGAGCTACTATTAGATATGGTGAAGCAGCACAACAAAGATACAAACATTCAAAAATCAAGAAGAAAAATTGCTGGTGGTGCCGAAATAATCACTGCTCCAGAAGTTCTTAAGCGCTTGCGAGAAAAAGCGGACAATAATTCCTCGAAGAAAAAAAAATTTTCCGAAGTTGTTGAGCTTGAATCACCAACAGAAGATGAAGCAGTCATTTACGATGATAGTGATGATGATTTTGAAGAAGAATTAAGAGAAGAGCAGGAATTGACGGAATACATGGACAAAATAAATAAAGAAAAAAATGATACAAATGTTAACGATTGGGTGCTTATTGCTTGCGCGGGGAAAAAAAATGTTAAACATTATATTGGTCAAGTAATCTCAGTAAAAAAAGAAGATGACGAAATAGAAGTTAAGTTCACAAGAAAAGTGCTATCGCTTACCCGAACTACTCCAACTGCTTTTACTTGGGCATATCCTGAGGAATGTTCATTTGTTGACATTCAAGATATTGTTATGGTGCTTCCAGAACCAGAAGTTACCAAAAGAGGTTTGCATCGATTTGGAATTTCATTTGATAATTATAATATTCAATAAGTGCCATTTAGTGGTTATTTTGTTTATTTTTGTTGTGAGAGACATTATTAATTTTTTTATTTTTTTTTGGAAGACCATTTTCTTTTGTATTAAAAAGTTTGTAACTGGAAAAGTTTAAGTTATAACAATAAAAAAAAATATAATAAAAAAATTTGGACTTTTACTTTTTACACATTTGCCCCAGACATGAATAAATCGATTTATGTATAAAATCTGGCTCGTTTACACACTTCCCCCATTTTATGGGGCAAGTGTGTAATATGCACACAAAAAAAAAATATGCCCGTATGAAAAAAAAAATACGAAAGTGGAAAGGTATAAATGTATTGTACTTGCGGACGATATACCTAAATGTATTATGGCAAAATATGAACTTAGGATCCCAAGTAGTTTCGTCAAAATCAGGATGTATATAGAAACTTTTAAAATTTTACTACACACTTACCCCACCTTACCTTACACTGATTCAGTAGATACCTACTGCCTAAGTGCCTACTGAATGACCATAAGAGTACGCTGTTGAAATCGGATCGGCAAATGACAGTTAAATCAGCACAGTAAATTCAGTACTGGCAGTTGATATCGGAACACAGCCAAGGATCTTGACCCAAGGTCTGTGGCTGGATACGACCCGCCACCCGCCATTTCACTCTGAATCCAGTTGAGATAGTTGAGCATCGGCTTGTCATAAGCATGATGTGGTGTGTGTGTGGGCTTGTGCAATTTGCTTGCTGGTACCTAGTGTAGGAGATCAGTTTCAGTTTTGTCTTTCGACAAGGTACAGCGATCGTAAAAACTTCGTAATACCAGTTTCTCAAGTCTCAAACAATTTTGGTATTTTACTCATAATACTGATAAAAAGGTCGGTAGTTTTTATATTATCACTGGATTTGTGAATAAGAATGACATAAGTATGTATCTGGCGAACTGGTCTTCCAAATGCCAGGGAAGTAGGTATCATCTCTGGAAGTAGCCCAGAGCTTGGCGATTGGTTGAAAATTCTATAAAGTGTACTAGAGAGAACAAATGCACAGTTTGTTAAGAGAATCGCATGAACTTTATTGTCTGGTCCCTTAGAAACGTACTAGTCATTTCAGTGTAGACATCAGATAATAATGGGCATATTATGATTTGTAATTTTTATGTTATTAAAAAATAAGTTTTCATGGTTTTGGGCAAACGGATCGGCCATCTTGACACCTATCCGACACGAGGTATAGTCCGACAAATACCATTTTAAAGTCACGTGATACTGGTGGCAAAAAACGTATGTCCATTGATTATGTCGTTGATATCACCTACAAAAAGCTACTGGTGGTTAATTACTATTGAATTTTAATATATGTTCCCACTAGCATTTTACAAACGCGTTTCTGAAGTAGTATTGACCAATCAGAGGGCAATTTTAATACTTGTAATTGTTGCGAGACTCACTTTTATTGCATCTGCTGTCTATTGTAATACATTCTGAACTTAAACTGGGTACCCGTTTTCTATTTGCTTCTTTTCGAGTTGGAAAAAGGTTAATATAGTCAAAATTATTAGCTGTGTTTGTTCGTTGTATTATTTTCGAAAATAACTTTGACAAACTAATTGATGACAGTGACGGATTCTATTTCAGGTAAGAATATTATGAACAATAATTAGACAGCAACAAAAATGGTATTTGTTGGACTATACATGAATTACGTTTATGTCATACCAGTACATTATTGTCTTTTTATACCTTAGACACCATCTACATAATTCATCACTTTATGCCCGTGCGGGCATAAAGTACACAATCTGGCCTGCGCGGGTATAATGTACCATTCTAAACATCAGGTTGACAATTACGCCGCAAATGACGTCGTTTGCGTGTACGCAAAGTTGCATCGATTTCAAATAAAGTCCCCCTGGTATGACTTAAAAGTTTGTATGCACCACGGGTACTAATAGATATATATACCCTCGGGCGACTTACGAACCCTCGGGCCAGAGGCCCTCGGCTTTACAAGGCTGTCGCCCTCAGGGCATAATCATCTACTTAGTACCCTTGATACATAAATAACTATTAGAATTAACAATAAAGTTCCAAATTGTTTCGGATTAAAATATCCAGTTCAGACACAATGCTTTGTATCTAATATTTAAAGCATTGGTTAGACAACATTTTACACTCAGTAGTTCAGAGTCAATTTATTTTGCATTCTGGATTGCGGTTGCTGAACAGCCTATAAACTGAACTTTTTGAAAATAAAAAGGCTTTCAGGTATTGATCGTTTGATAAAATGACCAAACCTCTATAGTAGAAATTTATTTATTCGATTTGGAAGATCAATACAATGAACTAAAAAGGTTATAGGTCTTAAACTTCAATTTTGTGTATACTCAAATGCCATTCCTTAAATCGATAGGTGAAAAATACCCCGTGGCCCTTATTGATTGGCCGTCTATATTTGGTACAACCGCAGAGGAACAAAATCTCTAGATTATACAAATCCCACCAGGAGAAAGCATTTCCATAAACTGATCACTAGGTACATATTTTTTTTTTCAAACCCGGGTACCATCATATCCATGGCTATCATTTCATTTTTGAAGTTCTGTTATACAAGAAAATTCATATTAAATCGCACATTTTTATTGTTTATTTCAATCATTTAAATGTAAAAGTTTAACATAGCTAGAACTTAACTAAAATGCCATACAATGGCTACCTACTTAATCAATACAGATTTTATACACAAATCCATGCTCTTTGTACATTTTTACACATTTTACAAAATATACAATTCCTTCGTAATCGAGAACCTTTAAACAGCCACAATTTTGCTAGGATCAACTTTAACCCTAATAAACATGACGTCCTCCCTCATAAAATATCTTTTCTTCAGCATTTCATGCGAGACAAACTTTGGAAAGCCAAATCCTAATGAATCCGGTTCTCTGCTGGGTCTCTGGAAGTTCTTCCATGTCGGATCCGGAATGAAGCTTTCGATAATGTTGCATGCTTGATCTGGACAAGTTGTCTGATCGAAAAGCGTGAACGAAACGGAATGGGCGAATGGCCAACGTAATAGAGCGTCATATTCACCAGGCAGGATTTTGATGTAAACCGATATGTGAGTTTTTTCTCCGGTTCCGTTGCCATATGGAAACAGCGAAGCCTGAAAAAGAAAAGTTACATTAAAAAAAATACATCCAAAAGGCATATTTGATTTTAAATGGGAGTTGACCATAATTATTCGTCAAAAAGGATCTTGACAAACATCATCTGAACCTGAACTAAACTATGATCTGAACTATTTTCGAAATCATATTGAATCTCTCAAGTTGGGAAAATTGTGTACAATCTTGAAACACTGTTTAATAACTAGAAAATTCGCTAATGTAATTTTTTCGCGTGATTGTTCTGCGAATTGGGAATGCAGACTCTAGATCTAGACAATTTCTAGAAGCAACGATAACTAGGTAAGATTAATAAGGTACATACCTGCAGTTTATATCCATACTGACTAGTATAAAATGGAGGCGACACCAACTCCATTCCTTCTTTGGTTTTAGCTTCAGCAATTTTTGAAGAAAAATCGCTGATTTTCCAAATAAGCGTGCCGGAATAGTTCAAAGACAGCCTGCTAATTGAACTTTTGAGCGAAGTTATTTGATTTTGCTGTTTATTAACCACATCGCAAATCAATTGCAAATGTTGCTGGCAATTTTCCTCTAAATGCTTATCCAGTACGTATTTCGAACCTTTAAATCTGCATCCAGCTTCTTTGAAGAAACATCCTGAAATCGTACATTCTTCTTTGAGATGACTTTCTAAATTTTCACGTGATAGAAAGTTTACATCGCAACGATTGGGACAATTAATAGGAACCCTTGGGCATTTAACATGGTGAATAGCTAAAGTATCAGCTACAAATTCTTTGCTACAGTATCTGCACGGTAGTAACCGTTTCGAACAATCGGAATTTTTATGTTGGCTCAAGTGTCGTTTCTGAATTTTGACCCCGCATTTGTTTTCACAGTAAAGTGGTTCGTAGCCGCAATTTCCCACGTGGTCCTCTAGAGTATGACCAGTGAATTCTTTGCTACAAAATTCGCATCTCGTTCTTCGTTGCGGACACGTGTAAAGAAGATGATCTTCCATCAGTACCTTTGGTATTTGGGCGCCGCAGTTGCTTGTGCATGGTAGAGTGTCGTGTTTACAGGTATTCAAGTGACCCTGAAAAAATAAAATTATTTTAATACCTGTAGCCTGTAGTAGGATTTGATTTTAAACTAAAGCAATATTGCGGAAGACAACAATCCACTTTAGACGATTTAGTTCCAAGTCGAGTTTTTTCGGAATGAGAAAAATTATAAGTCAAAAAGCTTTTCAGTAATTATTCTTGATGAAGTCATTTAAATCAGAATTAAGACTCTTACTTAGACCCTAAGTCTAGAAAGTTCTAAAAGTGCGTTGCATTGAGTTTAAGAAACCATCAACAAGCTCAATAAAACAAAAATGAAAATTCGATCTTTTTATGTACCCTCTGCTTGATCTTTGTCTTACCTTTAATTTCCTTAATTCGTCTGACCATTTGCAGCCTTCCTTGTGATGAATGCAGTAGACTACTGAGCTCATAATCGTTTTTTCTGATTCGAAATCAGAATATATCTGGAACAAAAGGAAAAAAAAAATGATAAAGTTTTTGTCTCCTTTCTCCGGTTCCAGTGAAACCATCTACCATCTACATTTTATTGTCATTATGTGAACTATAACGGTTGTATTGTAAATTTTTGATAGAAATCATAGGTAATATAATACCAAAATGTTTTATAAAGCTGGATTTTTGTAGGTTGCATTGGTATAATGTGCTGATACGTGTTTTTGAATTACTTTTTTAAACAGGCAATCCAGTTGATTGAATCTTCTGAATATGTATTAGTAGATTATATTGCTCCTGCATTATATTTATTAGATATAACTGGATACTTTGCGAAGATTCTTAACTACCTATCGAATAACTTCGAATAGAAAAAGGCTCAATTTCAATCAGATATTTTGATTACAGAGTTAACTGACCCTATCAAATCGCATAAGTATCAATTTTCATTTTTTTTTTTTTTTCATCTGCTGTACATACAATTTGAAACTATGTAATGGAAATTGAAATTTTATCTAATGAATAAAGTGAACAGTGAACACTTTAACCTTTCATTTGATTTGAAACTAAGTATAGTAAATACTTGCAATAGCCTAAATGGATATAAACGCAGAGGAGACATGTCTGAATTCCTTTTAATAACGGAATAAATATTTTTTTTTATCTAATGACTAGAATTTGTAGTACTTATGCGGGTATGACCACTTCCTGTCTGCCGCTTTACATGCAGAAACGGTAACCAACGACGTTCGATTTTATTAGCGGATAAGGAAAATGCTTGCTGAATCTAATTGAAAGTATGGCAATTTTTTATATTTCCTTTAGAAGTTAAGATTGATGGATACTGTAGATAATAGAGGTACCTTTATAGATTTAATTCTTATGAGAATATTGATGAAATAGGTACCTATGTGGATTGTGAATCTGAACTTAGAAACTTTCCCTGAGTTCCTTATCCTATAGGTAATCAACTTGTGCAAATCAAACCATTGTAATCTATGCAACTCACTCTTGGTTGAACAACGATATTCGGGGATGATAGTGTTTCTGTTTTTCAGCCCTATAATGATAATACATTCAAATGTTGGCTATTTGACAAACTTGGTCAACAAAGCTCGAATATTATTCCATCATCATTCCCCCAATGTTCAATGTTTCCCATCCCTAATTTTGAATGACAAAATTAATAATTATTGATTTGTTGGTTAACAAAGTTAGAAAAGCTGGTCATGCTCCAAATGTATTATTTCAAATAGAATACCCTGTATATTATCGGATATTCGGATTCTACATAAAATTCTGAGCAGATTTCATGTGATATACCCTATACCTAAGTTCAACTGTTTTGGAAATATTGACAGTTGCAAATTGACTTTTTTGCAAATTTGACAGGCTGTAAATCCTAAACTGTTAATTTTAGAGCAAAACCGATGTCACATATTTGTCTTAGATTTTTATAAACTATCAGTTGACACCAATATTTGACATCAACTTTGAATTTAATCCATGATTAAAAATTCCAATTAAATTTAATCTTCGGTTAAATTAAAAGTTGATGTCGAATGATAACTTGTGAATCTAAGATTTTCAAATGTGAGATCGGTTTTGCTCAAAAGTTAACCGTTTAGGTTTTACAGCCTGTCAAATTGGCAAAAAAGTAAGTTTCCAACTGTCAATATTTTTAAAACAGTTGAGCTTAGGTATAGGGTATATCACATGAAATCTGCTCAGAATATGACATAGAATCCGAATATTGAATAACATATTAGGGTATTCAATTTAAAATAGGAAAGTTTGAGCATGACCAGCTTTTTTGAAACACCCTGTATAGGCAGAAGTGAGATTTTCAAAAAATTTAATTTCAACCATAATTTTTTTATTTGAGACACTTTTTTCTAAAATGTCAAATAAAAAAGATAGAGGGGGGTGACATTTATAACCAATAACCCTGTACATTATGAACTGTACAAGCTTCAGTGAAATGTATGATAAACTTGAAAATATCTTTGAAAAAGCGACAGAAGATCAAATATGTAATTCAATACAGCAGTTTTATAACTTTAGTTTAGTTTAGTTTAGTATGTCACTTCACATAAGTGACAGTGGCGTAACTTGAAATCCGGGGCCCTCCCGCAAAGATTTTCCTGGGGCCCATCTTTTATATATGAAGATTCAAGGTAAGTTCACAGGGTTGCCAAATCTTTGTACGTTTCCGAGATATGAGGGAAATGTAAAAAACATTTAAAACTTATTTAATGAATATTTCAAAATCTATCAACTTTAGAAGAAAGTGTTCAATACAAAAGTTCCAAGATTCTTTCTTCTCTACAAAATGGCGTTTGGTATCTTCACACAGCTTCTAGTTGTGTTCACATTTTACCTCAGTCTTTATATCTCGGAAACAAATCAAAAATTGGCAACCTTGTGAACTTACCTGGATATTAAAATCTGCCATTTTTATTTAATTTACCCGACATCATACCTCCTGTTTCGGAGATAGCAATAGTGGTATGTGGTATCACTTAAAACGGACAGTTAATTTTGCATCTGTGAGTATGTCTGAACATTTCTTTCTGAGATTTCCTACATTGGTTAGACCAGACATACTTTTTCAGTGGTTGATATGTATTATGAGATTCATAGGTTAAAGTTTTTTTTTTTCAGTTTAGTACTACTATTGTCACCAGCTTAGTACTTTCGCCTGGTCTGAGACCCCGCGGGGCCCCCAAGATCACGGGGCCCCCCCGCAACTGCGGGCCCTTAGTTACGCCACTGATAAGTGACATTGAAAATTTGGCACATAGATTGAAGAGTTGGAATCAAACCGTAGATAAAAACATGGTGATAAGTAAAATTTTATCAACATTGCCCGAGCACTACAAACATTTCATCATTGCTTGGTTGGAAATAATTTTGAGAATTACTTTTTCACAAGTAAGACATATTACTGTTATGTTAATTGTAGAGGTATGCGCAATGAAAATGTTGAATTGTCCATTTTACTTGATACAGTGGACAAGCCCCTCCTAGTATGTTTGACAGAGACATGGTGTTCGAGGGAAGAAATCAGCGCACTTAAATTGGAAATATACTACTTGGCAGTTGAATATTGTAAGCACAATGTCCGTGGGGGTGGTGTAGCAATTTTTGTAAGAAATGATATACCAAATGCTCAATAAAGGCTGAAGATTCAATATTTGAGCATGTAAATGTAGAAGTGAGGATCGGTGGAGTCGGTATAATGTATGTTTCGTGTTTTTCTTGCCCCAGGGGCTGATTTTAATTTGTTAAAATCTAGGTTAGAGAAATTTGTTATAAAAATAAATAAGAAACATTGGCAGGGCAAGGGAAATTTGTGAAATTTTAAATAGCTTCGGACTTTTTGCCTGTATGACGGAATTTTCCAGAATACAAAATAATAACAAAAGTATTATTGACAATATATTTTATAATCGTATTTCTTCGGATTTGAAAACCAAAACATTGCATAACGATCTCTCGAATCATGACACACTGATGATTTTTACATGTTTACAGGTGGCTGCTCCAAACCTCAATCCATTTTATTAAGATTTTGTTATTGTAGGAAATTTTATAAGGAAGCAAATATTATTGCTTTCAAAAAATTGATAGAGCGAGAACCTTGGATGAGTCCTGTTTATGGAAAAGAGAATGCATGTAATGGCTTTTTCATTGTTTTTCCAAATATTCAATGGTATCATTGAGAAGGCTTTTCCACTAGAATTGAATATTTGTCATAATGAATATAATGATTCCTTGTAAATTTGGGGAAAGGTGTTTTTACCCAGACTCCTTTATTAATGATGAGGGGATTGAGTTGGAAGGTTTGCAACAAGCTTTAAATAGTTTCAATAGATACATATTTTTTGTACTCGATATGTCAGAAAATAAATAATATAGGAAATATATATTTTACAGAAATTGAGAAGAAAAATGAGTTAGTAAAACAAAATAAAGTAACCCCTTCTCTGGGTGCCCGGACACATAGATATTAATGGCAAGGAATGCGCAGACAGAGCACTCATCTATCAGGTCGCCAGCAGATTGTTACATTATCAAAAGATAGAATAAAATATAAATCTGATCTCCAAGATGTTACAAGTGGTGTACCTCAAGGGAGTGTCCTGGGGCCCCTACTATTTACCTACCATTTTTATATATGATGTTATTGACAGAAATGCAGCTATGACTATCTTCGTAGACGATATGACAACTGTGGTATCAGCTGGTGTCGCTGGTGATCTGATTGTGAGAGCAAGTAATGCAGTGGGCCATGTAGTTAAATATGCAAATATCAACAAGTTATCTTTAAATGCAAATGATGATGTTGTCATATAGGGAAGTTAATAGAAGTTTACCTACTTGTTAAAACAAATAACAGAATGATCGCACAAGAAGATGCGGTGAAGTTCTTGATGGGTGTACATGTTGATTCAAACTTGTCATGGGATACTCATATAGATGTTGTACTGGGGGGGCTGTCAAAATTATCGTTTGTGGTTTGGCGTCTCAGGAACTGTGTGAACCAATCAATTTTACTGTCTTATTTTATTATTATGCATAATGTTCAGTCTACACTTAATTATGGAATTGTTTGTTGGGCCAGTGCTGTCCGCATAAATGAAGTTTTGATAATGCAGATAAAAATTGTGAGAACCAACACATTCAAAAACATACTATGTTCATGTAGAAGTATTTGCAAGGAGCTAAGAATTTTGACGGTTATCTCGGTATATATATTGAACTGTTGCATTTATGTCTATGTCTAATAAGAGTAAATGGGACACGTCTGGTGAGGTTGCTTGGGGGACGGGGTTATTCTCTGAGAAACCCTGATTTAATGAGGTTACCAAATCATAGACTGGAAAAAACAGCCATGAGTTGTTATGTTTTTTTTACCAATGAAAATTTACAATCATCTTCCATAAGATATTGAAACTTTGTAAAGTACCTATGAATGTTTTAAAACAAGAAATTGAAAAAATACCAT